AAAGTCAGAATTCTGACTTTTTTCCAATACTGAATTGAAATAAAATTTTTAAATCAGTAAACTTTTTTTTTTCCAGTGGCCCTAATCCTCTTCCGTAATCCACTGATCATAGAAACTGTATAAAAAGTTTGCTTATTGGTATTTTTTTTGATACCTATATTCAGTATAAAAGGATTAAAACATTCCACAAAAAGAGGTTTTCCTGCTGAAAATATCAGCATACCTCCAGCTCTGGATTTTGGAGTCGCTGTTGTCATGACAGGATGAATCGGTACGTCACCCATCCGTATGTCTGACTCCATCCACCTGCGACTGAAGGTCTTTGTCACAAACGCCTCCTGAGGAAAGTCACTGAATGCTGTAAATGAATGTTTTCCTCAGGGTCTGAAAAGCTTAACTGCTTAGTTTTCCACCTTTTTTTTTGGATGAATAAAAGTGTGTTCAGTTTAATGTGGATCTCGATGTCCTGATGCATGATGTCCAGATTAGTATTTAGCTCTGCGCTGTCCCCATTTGCTTTGGCCCTGAGCCCAGGTCAGTCTGCTGATGCTGCTGCTGCTGCTGGGTGTGTGGGGGGAATAAGGACACGCTCGCTGCCTTTCAACTCACTGTAAAGACTTCTACATTCTTAAAAAAGGGAAAAAACACCCAATTTTAAAACTAAATCAGATTAATCTTAATAGAAATATTTAAACTATCCTACAGTTAATTTTTTACAGGTTCGTATCTTAAAAACTCTTGACAGTAAGCAAAATAAAACAATCTGCAGACATATTCACAGCCTTTCTGGGTTTTTTTGGTCACTGAGCGAATTGGTTGGTGTTTTGAGCCGGTGGTTACACAACGCAAACAAATTTGGCTCTGACAATCTAAAAAAAACAACCCAAAAACAACATGGTCTTGAGAGTCTTTTCAATTTGAGAAGAAGTGTTGATGAAAAAACAGGTTTCAATTTCAGCTCTATTTTAGGAATAGGTCGTTAAAAATAAGACTCGTCTGCCGCGCTGCGATTTTAGGTTGTTAAATGCGGAGATGACAGGAGTGGAAAGCAGTTTGCAAGTAAAAAAAGAAACCCGTATGCTCTCAGTAAATTCATTAATATGTTCTATGTAGGTGTTTATTTTCACGAGGATGGTTTAACCTTGTAACATCACAGCATACAAGAATAATAATGAAAAGGTAAAAAGGATGGATAGGTAAGCTAGAAAGGTGAACCTCAGTAGCTATAAATGCAGGTCTGAGACACCTGTAAAGTAAATCTTTCTGGAGATTTGGAGTTTAATTCACAAGATATACATTCCTCTGCTTAAGAGCTTTAGGAAAGTGCTTTATTTTCTCGCAGGATCATGTGAGGAACCAACGCCTGCAGAGAAATAACATATTTAAAGTGAATACACGAACAAATGAACCATTCAGATGGTTGCACTTCGTAAAAACACCTGTTAGTCAGCTGGTTCTCTGCACAGGCTTCATTTTATGAGCGACATCTGAAACTGTGGGGAGCCGTTGCCCAACATCGATCCCCTCAGGGAGCTTTGCCGCTCCTTTGTGTGTCTGGCCTTACTCATCACACGCGCAGACAGACGCATGTCAGGATCTGCTGAAGAAGTCTGGATCCTTGCATGAGATCACAGGGAGAGGTTGCTCGTTTAATCTGCAAGCATCATCAGCATTGATTGGAAGTGTTATTCCCTCACAAACGCACACACACACACACACGCTTCGCCACCAAACTCCCCCAATCAGCGGCTCTGGTTCAGCCTGTAATTGAAGCTGGAATGTGATGTGGACTCAGCGCGGCCCGGGCTCGTCCTGCGCCATTCAGTGGCTAATCCCCGCTGGTTCCTCTGATTCGCGCTTACAGTTCGGTGTGCCAAAGGACTGCGCTGTTAAAGGCTGCATGTAGGAGTCTTTTATCAAGCTGTCATGCTTATCCTGAGGGAGGAATGCAGAGCCAGAGCTGAGTCATGACTATCGTTACGGCATTGATTCGTCTGTGGTATCGTTTGCCCTGTCAGGTTCCAGGTGATCCTGTTTCTTCTTCCTGTCTCAGTGTGGGGTTTCTTTAACATAATGGCAGGTGGATGAGCGGTCTTCTCTTAAAACGAAACAGATCTACAAAGTTCCATCAGGAAGACCGCCTATAGGATCTGTTATCACTGCCTCATATTAATGGTAAAAAAAACAAAACTTGTTTTATTTGTCATCTGAAGGCCTCCCCTTCCTGAGAGCTCCATGGAGAAGATGAAGCGGTTCAAGCGACGTCTCACTCAGACTCTACGAGGCAGCCACTCCATCGACGAGTCTCTGTCTGAGCTGGCTGAGCAGATTACGATAGAGGAGAACGGGCTGAAGGACAGCGGTAAGGTTGATTCATTGTTTGTTTGCTGGAGTGCAACGCCTCTACATTCCTTCCTTAGATCCTCAATAATTATACTCCATAGTTTAAAGGCATTCGATTTCATAACGCTGGCATCCATGGCTGCCCTGCAATTTTATTCTACATACCAACTATGAGCAAGTTAATATGAAAATGTGAAAATAAATATGAGGCTTTGACATATTACACATTACTGATCAGTAATAAGTATAGATCTAAGCAAAGTTGTCTTTTATTAAATGTTTTTGAAACAATGGTAGCACCCACTACCTAAACCACCACAGATGGTGAGTAAAGCTGCAAAAAAAAAAAAAAAAATCGGCAGACAAACTCCATTTAAACCACCCTGAGTTAGTTCTTTGCAGATATTTTCACACGTATAAATATTTAATCACTTCACAACCCATTCATCCATTTTTTTACATATCCCAAGCAAGGGTTGCTGGTGCCTTTCTCCAGCTGTCTGCGGGCGAGAGGCAGGACAGGTCTCAAGTCCATCGCAGGGCAACAAAGAGACAACCAGCCATTTACACACACACCTAAGGGGACTTTAGAGAAGCCAGTTAACCTAACAGTCATGTTTTTGGACTGTGGGAGGAAGCCGGAGTACCCGGAGAAAACCCACGCATGCAAACATGCAAACTCCATGCAGAAAGACCCCGGGTCGGTAATTGAACCCAGAACCTTCTTGCCGCAAGGTAGCAGTGCTACCCACTGCCCCACTGAGCAACTCAATTATCATATTTTATTCAATTTTCCTACCTTATTTTAAGGGCCAAAATACTTATTTCATTGTCAGATCATCTTGTTCAAATTCAAATTAAGCCCAAATACACTACCGTAAATTCCTGACTATAAGCCGCTACTTTTTTTCCCGCTGTTTGAACACTGCGGCCTATAATACAGTGCAGCTAAAACATGTTTTTTTTCATGGCGCGAAAAACAAAGTATTTGCAACCACTGGACATCAGTGTGAACCGTGCATTTAAAGTGGCACTGCGCAGTGAGTGGGAGACGTGGATGACCAGCGGCGAGAAATCCTTCACAAAAACTGGCATCTTTCACTGATGTCTGCCAGTGGGTTCTCAATGCGTGGAGCCGCGTGAAAACATCCAGCATCACCGGCGGGTTTTAGAAGGCTGGGATGCTGCGGGATGAAGAGGACCGCGAGTGCTCAGGTGAGAGCGACAAGGATGAGACTGAAGTCAGCGACGGCATCCTGAAGCTGTTCCATTCAGACACCGAGGAAGAGGACTTTGAGGGTTTTAGCGCGCAGGAGGAAGAAGAAAGTGATTAATGACTTTTCCTGGTCGGCTGCAATGTTCTGTGCGTTGGTTAATTAAAAGTACCGGTATATGCAGCGTTATTTGCGTGTTACCGACACATACGTATATTTAAATGTGTTACAGGTAGTTTGAAAAAAAATGCATTCATAATATGTACCGTATTTGTTTGTTTTATTATACGGATTAAATCAAACGTTAAAAAAATGCTCACGTGTAATATCTTTATTTATAAATATCTCATACAACGTGGGAAACCTGCGGCTTAAAATCCGGTGGTTTATAAAAGTACAAAATTGATTTTCTTTCTAAAATTAGAGCGTGCGGCTTGTAATCAGGTGCGCTCTATAGTCCGGAATTTACGGTAATCTGACATCTAATCAAACATTCAACCATTGATAATTATGCAAAAGAAAGCAATACGAGTAAGGAATAACAAACATAAGAGATCACACTCATTGTTTATTCCTTTATTCAAGAATTCTCAAATTTGTAGATTTGATCAATTTCAGAACTGTTCAAATTCTTTACTAAGCAAGAAATAACTTACTTTCTGTGCAGATACAACAATTGTTTTCTGATAAAGATGTAAAATATAATCTTAAATTTCAAAATTAAGTATGTTCGAACAACAAAAAGAAGCTTTAGTTTATCAATTAGCAGAGTGAAGCTCTGGAACAGCTTGCCTGAAAACATTAAACAACTTAAATGCATGCAGCAATTCAAAAAAGAATATAAGAAAATTATTTTTGATGAATACAAAAAAGAGTAATATATAAAAAGTTGGTATACTGTTTGTCTTACTGTAAATGATTGTCCTTTACCACCATGACACATGGAACTGAGGGGTAGGGCCTAATAAGCTTATGCTTCATCCTACTCCTTTTTGAAACATGATGCATGTTTGTGAAGCATTCAATGTAAACATTGTTAAATCATATCATGTTTGAAAATAAATGAAATGGAAAAAATAATCTATTTTCAGATCAGTCCACTGCACCGTATCCCCATAGATGTCTTTTGGCCGAGACCCTCTTTGTAAATGAACAAACAAAGCTACAAAAAGCAAAGAAAATCCAACTTTGGGTGTTTTTTCTTACCTTTATCCCCATTCAGTCATTATTATTGTTTAGTATAACAATATTAACTAACTCATGCTGAGGGAGAAAGACCCCGAGCCGGGAATAGAACCCAGAACCTTCTGGCTGCAAGGCAGCAGTGCTACCCACTACGCCACTGAGCAGCCCCCATTTCATAACCTTGTGATCTAATTCACTTCATTAGCAAAAACAACTTGGTAGAGTATTAAACACTCCACCCCATGGCAATACAGGGTGGTGTTGGTGTTATGCTGTTGGCATGTAACCTTTATTTATCCAGGTAGATCTCACTGTAACTAAAAATCTCTTAGCTGCTTTGTTTTTATTCAGCAGTTCTGGATCATGGAGACCAAGGAACCCAGCAAACATTCTTTGTTTAGGTGGTTTGGAAACTGATTCGCTCATCACTAAAAAAATAACCCTATGCTTCTTTTTTTAAACTTTAACATCAGGCCCTATTTGGGTTTGTATCATAGAATTATAATGTCACCATTAAAGTTTGTTTTTATAAATGTTTAGATGTTTAGAACTCAGCTCTGCTACTAAAACCTGACTCTTCTGGCTTTGCTTCAATCTAAATGAAGGTTTTCACTTCCTGTCCTGTTCTAAAGATGACTTCTTACATTTTCTAAACTTCCTGCATCAGATCTTTATTAAGTATATCTGGCCTTTTTAGCTTGACACAGTTAAGGTAACCTAATATCTGCATGATGTATAAATATTAGCAGTCTAATCCAGTGTGAAAGAACCTTCTTTTTTTAAACAGTTTGTTAACACTGTTATGTAAATGGCTGTTTTTTTTTATTCCTTTTAATTCTCTAACAAACCAAATAAATAAAGGATGATTTCACAGTCACTTATCTCTTGTCTTGAAGACATGGTTCTGAGAAGTTAACGCAGCATAGTTTCAATTCAGTTCAGTTTATTTCTATAGCGCCAATTCAAAACACACGTCATCTCAAGGCACTTTAAATTCACCAGATCATCCAGTCAAATTGATTCAAAGTTTTGTATCTTAGGAAAACCAGTTGATTGCATCGACTCATCGACTGGAAGGCAATCCCTCAGCAATGCATTGTAATCAGAATTAAATTATCTTGGTGATTTACAAAAACATCGATTTAAATCTGACTTTATTTGGTAAAATCAAACCTTTACTTTCAGCTCAGGTTATATTTAATATTTATATATAACAGTTGTTAGAGAATCCAATCATTACTGTCATTTTACAAAGTTAAAAAGTTAAGAGAGTTAATGTATACCTAAAATGTCAAGGACAATAATAATTAATTTAGCTTTGGTTTAGTTAATTAAAACATGATTTATTTTGATGAATTATATTTTAATCCAATCGAGATCTCCAAGTCAGATATTCACCCACTATTTAACCTGAGAGAAGAATCTGCCATTTAATCCGGATTGACGGGTTAAAGTGTAACTAAAGCTGATCTTAAAGCCTGACTGTTCCTGGAAATATGTTTGAAAATGCATCTGATCTGTAATCTCCCAGAACAGATTGACAGTTGTAGTTCAGTATGAATTCTATAGAGCAGGGGGCTTCAACGTTTTCCAGGCCAAGGACCCCCAAACTGATGGCCAGATGGTGCGGGGACCCCCTAATTTCTGCCTCTGGTTAATGCGTTGACGTCATACACGCCACTGCATTTCAATGGTTTGAAACATTTCTCCATTGAGGCTAACACACCTGTTGGCTTCTGGCAAAACGTGTTTTCAGGAGTTTGTTAATTCATAAATCTCTAGTGGTGTAAATAATAATCGTTTTGTATCGATACATCGATCCAACCGCAGACGATCCGATGCATCGATACGTCCGCAAGATAATCGATTCATGTTTTTTTTTTTTTTATCCATTTGCTCCTGGACGTAATTCTCCCTCCCGTGCTGCGGTGGCGCTAAACCTATTTTGCCCTCCTACCTCGCTTCCTGGTTATCCTCTTACAGCAGTGTGTTGCAGTGAGCTTGTCACTGACATTTTTGATTTATGCTCAGTATTGAAGCGTGGTCTGTGCTACACGCTGTGGGTCTAGATGCGGCCGAGGCGGCGAGGAAGTGGGGGCGAGTTTAGTCAGACGATGGAGGGACATGAGGGCCAAAAACAGCGAGGATCCAGGTGGAACAAGGGTCCCAGCATTCTCGCGCACCTCGCTCTTCTAGCGGGTCAAACTTCAAGAGTTGTTTTCTGCAATTTCGGTCATAAAAACTAAAAAAGCCGGCCTCCTGTCTGCGGCACTGTCTGCGGTCAGCTACAATTTGGGAGAGGTGCAGCGGAGCGTCTGTGGAGGGGGTGGGACGTCTGGAGCTGAGGTAGTGCATTGCACTCATTGCACTGATTTTGTGCAG